AGTGGAGTGGCTTGCCATTGCCTTCTCCAACTGTTTTCCTATTGTTAGTTTCATTGATTTCTACTCGCTATTTCCTTCCTTGCTGATTTAGTTTTATTTTGCTCTTTTATAAGTTCTTGAGGTGAGAATGCACATTATTGATCTGAGACTTTTTCTTTTTTCTTATGCATATATTTAAGTGCTATAAATTTCCCTTTCAGTACTGCTTTAGCAGCATCACATGAATTTTTGTATGTTATGTTCTCATTTTCACTGAGTTCAAAATATTTTAAAATTTCCCTTGAGACTTCTTCTCCTTTAGATCATAGATTATTTAGAATTGTATTGTTTCCAAGTGTTGGATATTTAGTTTCCAAGTATTTGGATATTTTCCTCTTATCTTTCTGTTATTGGTTTCTAGTTTGATTCCATTATAATCAGAGAATATACCTTGTGTGATTTAAATTCTGTTAAATTTGTCAAGGTTTGTTTTATGGACTAGTATATAGTCTATCTTGGATAATGTTCCATGTGCACTTGAAAAGAATGTGTATTCTGCAAATTCTTGTTGGGTGGAGCATTTTATAAATGTTGATTAAGTTCTGTTGGCTGCTATTGTCATTGAGTTCTTCTATATCCTTGCTTACTTTCTGTCTAGTTGTTCTATGAGAGGTTGAGAAAGAAGTGTGTAGGTTTGTCTGTTTCATCTTCAATCAGTTTTTGTTTCACATATGCTTGGAACTTTTTTGTTTCCTGCATATGTGTTAGGATTTCTATACCTTCTTGGAGAATTTACCTTTTTATCATTATGTGGTGTGCCTTTCTGTGTCTGTTGTTTAGATTGGGTAATTTCTATTGTTTTGTCTTTAAATTCACTGATTCTTTCCTCTGTCCCCTCCATTCTGCTGTTGATGCCATCCATTGAATTTTAAAAATTAGCTGTCATAGTTTTTGGTGTTAAAATTTCTATTTGGTTTATGTATTCTCTTTTTGGTTGAGACTTTCTGTTTCTTTGCTATTTCTTTTCTATTTATTTGCTCTTTCTGAGACTTTCTGTTTTTTTCATTTGTTTCAAGTGTGTCTGTAGTTGCCCATTCAAGCATTTTTTATGATTGATGTTTGAAAATCTTTGTCAGATATTTCTGACATCTTTGTCATCTTGATTCTTGGCATCAATTGATTTTCTGGTTTTCAGTCGGTTTGGTATTTTCTTGATTCTTGATATAGTGACTGACTTTTTGTTGAAATGGCCATTTTGAATATTATATTGTGAGACTCTGGATCTTATTTAAACCTTTGGTTTTAGGTGGCTACTTTTGACACAGATACAGCAGAGGAAGGAGGAGGCATCCCTTCATTTCTATCAGGTTGGGGTAGAAGTCCGAGTTTCCAACTCAGCCTCCACTGACCCTTGATGGGGCTCCTTGTTAGTGATGGGTGAGCATAGCGTAGGAGCTCCCTGCTAAGCTCACATTGATCCCTCCCTTCATTGTAGTGGTGGTGGACCTCATTGCTGCTGGGGGGGGGGAGAGGTGAAAGGAAGTCTGTGCTCCCCGCTGGGCCTTCTTTGGTAATACTCAAGTAGGAAGGAAGTGGAGGTTGACTGCTTCACTACAGCTTCAAGAAGGGGGAAATCTAGGCTTCCTAGTAGCCCTTGCTGGCCTAGATGGGAGTGGGGCCACAGCTTTTCTATTGTGTTTTGACAGGTAGAGTGATTATTATCTAAAGTTTTCTATCTTTTGAGGCCCCCTTCCCAGTTTTTCTGCTAGAGAGACTGGGCTTTTGTTGGGACTCTTTTTGTCTACACCCACTGATATTTCCATGTTGCTGCCTTCTTTAGCTCCAAGTCTAGGAGGCAGAAAATAAAGCCAGAGCATTCACCACTGTGTTACTCCTAGCCAGTTTGCTTTCCTTTCTCCACCATTCAGAATAGTTTCATGTTTGTTTAATGTAATGTTTTTTGTTTTTTTAATGTCTAGAACTTTTCAAGGTACTTAGAGCAAGGAATCAGGATTTCCAGGTGGCTCAGTGGTAAAGAATCCGCCTCCCAATTCAGGAGACGCAGGGAACGCGGGTTGGGTCCCTGGGTCAGGATGATCCTCTGGAGCAGGAAATGGCAACCTGCTCCAGTATTCTTGCCTGGAGAATTCCATGGACAGAGGAACCTGGTGGGCTACAGTCGATAGGGTTGCAAAGAGTTGGACATGACTGAGTGACTGACTGTGCTGAGCAGAGTGAGGAATAGGGAAAAGTATGTCTATTCCATATTTCTGAAAGCAGAAGTCTCATTCAGTTTGCCTTTACTTGTTTTATTCTAACAGGCCAATCTCTTTTCCTACCCAAGGTCATGGGTCCAAGTATCCTTAATCAAACTTGTGTAAATTGCTTTCCATGGGGAAAGAAAGTTAAAATCCCAATCTTGAAAGAGCTCTGTGCATTGGTGGGATGGGTAGAAACAGTTTTCATACCCAAACTACACACTGGGCCCTCTGTGAATTTATAGCTTTCTTTTACTGATCTTTAAGGCTTGGGGCCAACTAGAGGGGGACCAGAGATATTCAGATTACTTCACATTCATTAAGGGATCTTTTGAGCTTCCCTGGTAGCTCAGCTGGTAAAGAATCCACCTGCAATGGGTTGGGATTCCTGGGTCAGGAAGATCCCCTGGAGAAGGGATAGGCTATACACTCCAGTATTCCTGGGCTTCCCTGGTGCCTCAGATGGTAAAGAATCTGCCTACAATGTGGAAGACCTGGGTTCGATCCCCGGGTTGGGAAGATCACCTGGAGGAGGGCCTGGCGACCCACTCTAGTCTTCTTGCCTGGAGAATCCCCACTGACAGAGGAGCCTGGCAGGCTCCTCGGGGTCACAGAGTCAGACACGACTGAGCGACTAAGCACAGCACAGCACAAGGGATCTTTAAGCTCCAGAGGTACAAAGAAGTTCCCATGACACAAGAGGAAGTTTCACCTAGAGGTTTCCAGGAACTTGTAAGTGCCACAGAGGAGCAGCTGGGGGACGTGTATGGTGGTCCCTTCCAACTTGGCCTGGCTTCTAAAACCAGAGCTTCTTGCCTTTGATTATTGAGGGTGAGAACCATGCTCAATACTCTCCTGGAGCCAGGCTTCTCTATACTTCATCATTTACTAAGTCTGCTTCCTTAAAAGCCTGTTTTTAGGGAAATACGATCTTGCTGTGGAGCAGCATGTGTTTTTAATCCAGTTAGATCTCGTTTGGGATCCTGGTCCCATCTTTTGCTAGCTGTATGACCTTGAAGCTCAATCATTCACTTAAAAATCATCCTGTACTGCCTACTGTGGACCAGTCACTGTGCTGTGTTTTGGGAATAAAGTAATGAGTACCCCCTTCTCCCTTTTCTTTACTTTCCAACCAATAGCAAGTCCAGTTGGTTTTACTTCAGAAATATATCCAAAATTGAACTACTTTTCTCCATCATCCCATCTTTTCCCCAGCCTATAATAGTAAGTTCTCTGGTTCTGTTCTTCCCTCTAATACTCTGCCTCAGTTCATTCTTTCAGAAACATGCATCGAATTATTATTCTCTTACTCAGGACCCTCCAATTACACTGAGACATGCTGAGAATAAAACCCAACACCTCCCCATGGCCCACTAGGGCCTGCATGGTCTGGTTTCTGCTTCCCCGTCGAGTTGTCTAGCATCTCTTACCCTCTCATTTAGTATGCGTTAGTCATGCCAGACTTTCTTCCTTTCCTTAAAATATCTCACTTGTCCTACCCTGAGGCCATTACACCAGTTATCTTCTCTATCTTGGATACTTTTTCATCCAAAGTTTGAATGACTTGTTATCTTGCTTTCATTCAGGTTTTAGTCCAAACACTCTCTTTCCCCTCCTCAAGTCAAATTCTGTCAAAACACTGTGTGTCCCCCAGCCTCTTATTTTTTGAAATTAAAATTTCATTGTACATAGTTTTATTAGAATACGGTCACAATCATTTGATTAAATTTTGTCAATGGTGAAATTTAATGATACTTTAAATTTATTTATTTTTTAAAAGTACTCAGATTTATTTTCTAGGTACTTTTATGTATTTTGTCTAATTTATACCTGACAGCAACCCGTAATGAAGTTATTGTTATCATCATTGTTATAAAACACTTATTCTTTATTAGCCACTATTTTCAGCTCTGTGGGTGTTCCTATTGGCTCAGTGGTAAAGAATCCACCTGCGATGCAGGAGATGAGCATTCGATCTCTGGGTCAGGAATATCCCCTGGAGAAGGAAATGGCAACCCACTCCAGTGTTCTTGCCTGGAGAATCCAATGGACAGAGGAGCCTGGTGGGCTACAGACCATGGGGTTGCAAAAGAGTCGGACACAACTTAGCAATTAAACAAAAATAACGACAGCAATTTTAAGCTCTATGCATATATTAACATATTTAATCATGACAAGAACCCTATGAGGTAGGTACTATTGTCTGCATTTTCTTTTTTTTTAATAAATTTTTACTGGTGTATAGTTGATTTACAATGTTGTGTTAATTTCTTCTGTACAGCAAAGGGATTCAGTTATATGTAAACATATATCCTCTCTTCTTACAATTTGATATTATCTTAATTTGTCTACTAGACCAACCTCTCCAAGAACAAGAATCATGCTGTTTCCTTCATTGCTATTTGCCCAGTGTCTAGAACAATTCTGGGCACAGAGTAATCAATATTGGTTGAGTAAAGTTGCTTAATTCTCTTGTGCCCCAGGCTCTCTCTTGTGACATGGAATAATAACTAGCTAATCAAACAAGGTTGTATTTAGAATTGTGAGGTAATCAATGTATGTGAAGTGCTTAGTATATTTATTGTTTCATTATGATGGTTTATATTACAGTGTCACTCTGTTCTCCCATAGTCCTCCAGTGCCTGTTTTTGTGCCTCCTGGTCCATCTGGAATGGCACGACTGTCCGTGACAGAGGCTGACTGGTTTGATGCTTGTGATGAAATCCTCACTTAGTTTTCTCTTGGCTGTATTTTTCCTCACAGGTTCTGCAGCTGGGCTCAGACATCCTTCCCCAGTACAAGCAAGAGGCACCAAAGACCCCCCCGCACATCATCTTACATTACTGTGTTTTTAAGACCACATGGGATTGGATCATCTTGATCTTAACCTTCTACACAGCCATCCTGGTTCCTTACAATGTCTCCTTTAAAACCAGGCAGAACAACGTGGCCTGGCTGGTTGTGGATAGCATCGTGGATGTCATTTTTCTGGTGGACATTGTGCTGAATTTTCACACCACTTTTGTTGGACCCGCTGGGGAGGTGATTTCTGACCCCAAACTCATTCGAATGAACTACCTGAAGACGTGGTTTGTGATTGACCTTCTGTCCTGCTTGCCCTATGACGTCATCAACGCTTTTGAGAACGTGGATGAGGTTAGTGCCTTTATGGGTGATCCAGGGAAGATTGGTTTTGCTGATCAGATTCCACCACCCCTGGAGGGGAGAGAGAGTCAGGTACATCCCTCAAATCTCAGACCTGTTGTCATGTCTTTAAGTTAATTGTGGATGCTCAAAAGAAGAGTACTTGAGTGGGTGGGAATTGGTACGACTGGTGTCTGAAACAGAGGGAGCATGATGCTTGGTCAGTATCCTTGCCTGCTGCTCTTGTCCTTTGGAGGTGTGGAGACCCTGCATGTCAGTGGATGGATGTGGAGGAGACCAGAGGCGTCTCTCTTACTCCCCGTGGAGTGCAAGCTGCTGCTTTGGGAGGTGGGGCTGCAGAAGCAGGCATGCATTGCCATTGCATTGGTGAATCTTACACTTGGTATGCATTTGCTGAATGCCTATCTACTGATTATTCTCATTACGGGGACTTTTCTGTTTTCTGCTGATGACCTTTGGCTGTTTCAAAACTAATTAACTCTTGAAAACAGAGATGCTACTCTCCCCTAAGATTGCTTGCCTGTATTTTTCCTTCTTCTCTGGTAAATGTTGGGAAACAATGAGTTGTTTCTTTGCTAAAATGAATTTTGCAGGTGACCAATGGCATTTAATTGTCCATGCTGTCCCTTGCCTAAATTTGCTGAGGTAGTCAGGCTGTGGTTAAGTCTGACTCTTGTGGCTAAGTCAGGCGAGAGGAGAGTATTACTGGACTACACTGCTTTGGGTTGTTATGGGAGAAATTAAAAGAAGATAAATGCTCTGAAACGGGCTAAAATCAGGACATGCTTAAAGAGTCAGTGAATGTGTGCTGGGATGTGTTACAGCAGGAAGGGGCCACTCGGCTGGTTAAAGTGATTTTCTCCTTTGAAAAAGCAAGGGTGTCACATCACGGCAAAGGAAAATGTCAGATTCTTATCTAGTTTGAGTGTTCTGTGAGAATTGGTATTTTTTTCCCTACCTTTCAGTTGACACTTTAGGTGGCAGTACTCCTGGTAAGTCTTCAGCTTCAGATAGCAGTGGCCCTCACTGCCTCAGACTGTGGAGGGTCCCAGGGGTCTCAGGATGGCTGTGTTGCTGTCTGGATGGGTCATCCGGAAGTCATCAGGAGGCTGAATTGAGGCAAGATACGCTCTCAGGGCTAAAGGGCTAGCAGGACTGGAGATAGTGGGAAGGGACAGCCAGCTCCCTGCCAGGATAACAGGGCCTGCCAGTGACTCCACGTCTTGCTGGTGGCATAATGATGCCTCTCACTTTCACATCAGTACCAGCAGTGGGCGAGGACTCCAGCCCCTTCCTCCCTGAGAATCCAGCTTCCTACTGTTTGCTCTCCAGTGAAGGGGAGCTAGTGTTCAGATGCTCCAGACTCAGAGCAGTCCCTGTTTTCATCTGTGTGGTGTTTTAATAGACTGTAAAATCCTGAGAAATAATGCTCCGAATGGCTTGTGTGGATTTTGTAGGGGGATTAAATGAGTTGAGACTGATCATTTAGAAGAGTAAAATCATCCCTAACGTGAATGTTGGGATTCTTAAATGTGAATTTTAGTACATGCTGGGAGTGCTGTTTTTCTCTGTGAGCACATCTCTAGCAAATTTTATGTTAGTTAGCAAGGAAAATATGATCATTTTGGCTTAGATAATTTAACTGATTATTTTGACCTAAAAGAGCTTCTTATGCACATATGGGAAATGAGTTTTAACTTTAAAAATACTGGTTGGGTTTTAAAAATAAACCATTTGCTATTTACAGCAATGGCTTTGAAATTTTGCAGATAAATAGAGCAGTTCTTTGGCTTCTATAATTTCTTACTAAACATTGGCAGAGCTTTAAACACATATGTAAATGTGTCAAGATTACCTTGTAGGTTAGCACAGCATAGAGCTTCTTCCCATGCACTGTGTATGTTGGGTCAGAATTCCTTTGCCATTAATCGTGAGTACCCTTGACATGGTTTCTGGTGTCCAGATTCATGAAGTCGATTGTAGATAGGGAAATTATAATTTCTCTGTGATGAGTCCCTCAGTTATGTCCAACTCTTAGCAACCCCATGGACTGTAGCCCTCCAGGCTTCTCTGTTCATGGGATCTTTCAGGCAAGAATACTGGAGTTGGTTGCCATTTCCTACTCCAGGGGATCTTCCTGACCCAGGGATCGAAGCCACATCTCTTGGGGCTCCTGCATTGGCAGGTGAATTCTTTACCACTGAGCCACCTGGGAAGCCATAATTTCTCTATAGCTTTCTATTAATAGTTGGCAAAGGGTTTAGCATCAAAGCTCTTACAACTGTTTTTTGATCATGAATAATAATATGAACATTAAGAGGTTATAGTTATGATTTGCTTCTGTAAAGACTTTACTTTATATTTGATAACTCCTTTCAGAGCTTTGGCTCGAACCTGAAATAAAGCCTTTCCATAATAGTTGTGGTAGAGTTGGGGAAACACTGAAGATTCATATACTGAAGATTTGGCTGCTGTTCCTCTTAGTCTCACCTGTAAGGACAGCTGGGAACCTTGTGCATGTCATTCAGCCTTTCTGGATCCCAGTTTTCCTAACTGCAGCTAGGGGATGGTACCACCTCACCTGCCTGAAGGCATGGCATTTGGGCTGTGGATTTGAGTTCCCTGTCAGCTGCAAAATATGGTGAGTTCAGAATCCCTGGTGTTAGTCTCACCTCCAGACTGACTATAAAAATGAGAGACCCAGCATCCCGACTTCCTATCTTTGGTGGAAGTTGGAGGAAGGTGGGGTGGGAGGGGGATATTTAGCAGGTTATGATAAGTAGACCTACTGGAGGTCAGAGCCCAGTAGAACTGTCACCTGCTTTAACCCTCTTAACTCACAAACAGAACAGAGAAGAATCAAAGGGGACTCCTTATTACTGTGACCATATGATGTGCTGCACCATCTTGAATGAGTCATGTTCCCTGGGTCTGTTCCATGACAGTTTTGGTAAAATAGGGAGAAAACACAGAAGGATACTGTTGAGTCAGAACTAACCGAGAAGTTCTGGATGTGTGTGGTTCACCCTTGGCTTGGTTGTTGTGATGGGGAGGCTGGGTATTGGGTACCAAGGATGGGAAGCTGCAGTTTCCCTGAGGCAGGAGGGCTGGTGATGCGTTGGGCAGTTTAAGATGTTCACCAAGGGACAGCACTGTTTTCCAGGCACCAGGCCTTTGTTTCAAAAGGCACCATTAAATCAGCAGGCACGGAGGGCTGCTGGCACTTACAGTGGGTTGGAGAGGCCATGAAGGGCACCCCAGCTGTTGAACCGGGGTTAGGTGGGGGAAATCCCTTCACTGGAAGAGTTCTGATTAATTCACCGTAGTGTTGTCTTCTTCCCCAGGCTCTGCTGTGGGGTTGCTCATCTAAGACTAGAGAGTGGGGAGAAATAGGGAATTATGGACTCATTTCTCATAAACAGTAACGGAGCAGACCTCTCTCTGGTGTCCTGGTTATGCCAGCGGAACTGTGCTTCAGGGGAGACTCCCAGGGAGGCGGCGGATGGGCAGGGGGGGCTTTCCATATGTGTGTGTAGGGGTTAGGGCATAGGCGTGGGGACTGGGGTGAGGGCTCTTAAAGTGAAAGGATTGGGCCTTCCCAAGCCTTGGGTCAAGAAATTAGGTTAAAAAGCCAGCAGTTGTGAATTCAGCCCTGTGGATGGAGCCCACCTCATGATTTAAGCCACACTGGCAATCCATTTTGCCCCAGCTTGGTTCACTTATGTAGATGGCCTGTGTTTGCGTCATTCTCCAGTCTGTTGGTAATCATCCGTTTTGGAGGCCGTTTGGGAATATGTTTGCGCATTAGTTAAACTGGTGAGAGGACGGAAGGCCTGGAAACAGAGTAAGTGGAAGCTTGGAATGGGTGTGCTGGAGCAAAAGCCCAGTGGGTCTCTTTCAAGCACTTCGTGCAGTGGACCCCAACCTTTTTGGCACCAGGGACTGGTTTCCTGGAAGACACTTTTTCCGTAGACCAGCATTGGGGTAGGGGGCTGCTGGTTTGGGGATGAGTCTCATAAGGAGTGAGCAACCTAGATCCCTCTCATGCCCAGTTCACAGGAGGGGTCACGCTTCTATGAGCATCTGACGCCACTGCTGATCTGACAGGAGCTGGGGCTCAGCGGGTCATGCGAGCGATGGGGAGCGGTTATAAACACAGGTGAAGCTTCGCTGGCTAGCCTGCCGCTCTTCACCTCCTGCTACGTGGCCAGGCTCCTCACTGGCCCCTGACTGCTACCTGGTCCGTGGCCTGGGGGTTGGGGACCCTTGACTTAGTGGACTATGGGCCTGGTGTGTGTCATGGATTAAAGAGAATTATTATTCACAAAACATAAGGAATCCTAATTTTATTGCCCGTGGAGTGTGGAAGTGCAAACAGGGGACGGAGCCAGTTGTGCCCCCAGCCGGGTCACAATCCTGGTGCCCTGAGGCCTGGGGCCAAGAGCTCCCTCTGTCCCCGGCTCTGGAGCCTCAGACTGCAGCACCACCAGCTGGGGCCGGCCACAGCTGACACGTGCCGAGAGCACATGGGAGACGTTCACCCAGAGCAGAGGAGGACCGAGGCATGCTGATGGAGAGATAACAGCGCTGATAGCCACTTCCCTTCGTCTAGAGCACTACCTTTCCAAAACACTTTCCAACAGATTGTCTTTTTTAATTATTGAAATATGGTTGACCTGCCATATTATGTTAGTTTCAGGTATAGTCCATAGTAGTTTGATATTTGCAAACATTATAAAATGTTCACCACGCTAAATCTAGTAATCATCTGTCCTCATACAAAGTTTTTATAATATTATTGACCGTATTCTTTGTTGTGCAGAGGGACTTTGTTGCAGCTCTGTGGTGGTAAAGAAACTGCACTTAACTCAGGGGAAGATGACTTGTCAGCTTCCAGCCGTGCAAACTTATAGAAGTCATTTCACCTCCTTGGACTTTGCTTACCTCACCTGTAAGATGGGTCCATTTCAGCTTGACCCTTCTGTGGCTCT